AGGGTTTAGGGTTTGGGGGTTTACTTCAAGGAGTTCAGGACTTCTTGGATGGGATGAGCATTATTCATGGGGGGAGACTCTCTACCCCAAGAGGCCGACTGACTTGGGACCATTGGATCCTGTAGGGCTTTGCTGGAGTCGAAAGCCCTTGTGCTGCTACAAGCTTCCGCACAGTAAGGCTGTGGCGTTAATGATGAGGTACAAGGACATCTTCTGCTCTGTGAGAGAGACGAAGTCCCGTACGTCCTGCGCTCAGCGGGAGCCGTGGGCAATCAAGAAGCCAAGGGTGCATGGAGATTCAGGAGACTGAGTAAGTGCTTATGCGACTCATTGAGCTCCGCTGGTTTGTGCTTCTCAACCAACCCGCATTTAATTCGTTCAAACAAGCCACGAGGACGTAGCAGATACCTTAGGTTAGGCTCCTTTTTCCCTACGCCCGTTTAGCTTTAAAGGGCGATAGTGTCCTCACGATGCAAGCTCAAAACCCCTAAACCCCAGGCACCGGTATATAACCCTATACACCCCAGCGTATCCCCGTTGTAACCTCTAGCTCCCAACGATCTGCGCCAGAATGAAAACCTGAACCTGATTTCCCTTCGGAAGCCTGTACCTGTTTCACAATAATGGAATAAACCCCCGAAGCATATATGGGAATGGAAAAGAGAATGGAAACTACTGGGCAGTTATAGGGATATGTGGGAATTTGTGTTTCGTCATTAGAGCAGGTTGTTAGCCGCATCCCCAGAGATCAGGACGCTAACTATCACACAACTATCCCAATCTTGGCGGTTGGGGTTACCAATGATTAGACAGCATGTATGACATGAGAAACAAGGCCTCTGGTTGAGGATGGTGATTGGGAGTCTCAGGCTTTGAGGCTTCAACCACAACCTACAGTATAACTTATAATCATGACCATACCTATCCCCAATCATAACCCACTTCTAACCCAACCTAAACCGTAAACCCTAAATCCCTAAACCTAAAACCCTTTGTTCGGCTCCGCTGCTTGGCTTCCTAGCGCTTTGACTCTCAGGGCAGCGGCTCCTGACGCCAGAGCTGCGCCTGAACGACTCGATATCTGCGCTCGTGAAACTCCTTCTTCATACCTGGCCCATGCGACTTAGTTCAGGTTGTGATAACAGTAGTAGTAGTAGTAGTAGTAGTAGCAGTAGCAGTAGCAGTAGTAGTAGTAGTAGTAGTACTACAACAGCAACAGTGGTCACAAGGCTGGCAATAGAACTAATCGTAATGGACATAGCAGTAGCAATCATCATAACAATAATAATTAATCAACCAGCATGTGCTGAAGAATCCTTCACTTGTGAGGGGTGAGATTAAGCCGAACTTGCTGGAGTAGTTTGGTTTAGGGTTGGGGGTTTAAGCGACGAAGCAGAAGTGCGCACACAACATGTAACACGCACAAGATCAGCATCGTTTGCAATACTGGCCCATGGTACGAACTAAGCAACTAGGCTCACTCTGGCTTGCCCGCAGAGTCCCAAATCCGTTCACTGAAAAATGCAAGCAAAGTTCCATATGTTTAGGGTTTAGGGTTTATTCTGGCACCAAAGAGGTTGGGGCTCACTTGGCGTTTCCCAGCTTTAAAGTACTCTGAACGCCGGGGCATGTGCTTCGCATCCCGACCAAGGTCACACTCAAGTTGCCTGGAGCGTTTCACGCCCTGGCTGAGATGCAACACCAGTGCCTGTACACCTGGCTCTTGTTACTATGGAATGAAACGGACCTCTACAATGCTCACCAGGATAACTGCTATCACCCCTAAAGCCCATTCCTTCATTCCTGACTAACAAGGCGAATAGCTTAAAACCCATCAGGGGTCTACACCCTAAACCCTAAACCCTAAATAGTAGCTTCCATTTTCTTCTCCATTACCCCTATATAACCCCAATATATACCTTACCAAAGCACCCCAGGAGCTTCCGAAATTCTCGGCGGCACCGGGGTTGCTTCTAGACCTTTCGCTGCTCTGCCCGTTGCCGCAAAAGCAGCTCAACCGACTTGAGCGAGGCACCCAAATCGCAGCCTTCAGATGTGGCTGGAGGAGTAGGAGCTGAGCTAGTGTTTTAGGTCTTAGGATTAAGTGGAGTTAGGGTTCAGGATTGACGGTTGGGGCTCAGGGTTTAGGGGGCTCAGGGCTTAGGGATCTACAGAATTTATTGGTCTCGCTGAATTCTGTGTCTCCAGAACCCTACAGGATGCCTGCGTATCCGTTGAACCCATTTCTCTGGATCCCTCTGCAACCTATATGCATAGTCCCCCTTAAGTAGATAGAATATGGATTTGACCATAACCATGATAAGATCCCCAAAAACCCTATATTCTATCTACTTAAGGGGGACTATAACCCTCTAACAGAAAGACGAAGTCTCTCACATCCTTTGCATATGCACTGCCGGCGCCATGTCTGTATGTAATAACGCCTTGTGGGAACCAATGACATTAGGCCACCGTCAGGTATGGCTGATACGTACTAACAATCCTGCATTACCCCGAAGTCAAAGTTAAGGTAGTACAGTATACTAAGGTCATGCAGGAATTTTAATATCAACAGTATGTTAGGGCCCAGGAAAAAGCTCTGCTGCAGCCTCTATCTGCTTCCAGAGGGATGTAGCGGTGCTGAAACTGCTTCAGGCGGCGTCTGAACATCGTGTTGTGAATTGCTTCTTCAGGACCTTTCGGGCCAAACTCATAGCCTTCGAAGCGCAACAGCGGCATGCAATAACAGCAAGGGCTTAAGTATCCCTATATGTAGCCCTATAATCCCTGTAGTTTCCATGTTTTTCCATTATCCCCAATATGGCCCCTATATATACCCTATATATATATATACATGTATGTGTGGTAACATATATATATATATCCTGACAGGACGTGAAAGCACCCAAAAGGAAAGCTCAGCAGGACGGAGGAACCCCACTCTCGTAGGCGTTCCGCCAAGTTCTCCTGCTCTGCATGGCGCGCGTCCTGAACGGCACCAGTCTCAATTCCTAAGGAGAAGTTCTCCTTCACCAAACGGCCCCAGTCGAACTTCTTACCGGGCTGAAGCTTCTCCTCCTCAGGCGGTTCCTGCGTCACTTCACCCGCCGCGAGTACGTTCCAGGGGTCCACGTGCCAAGTCTTGCTGATGGCACGCAGCAGCTTGATGAGACTCTGATACCTTGTTTGCGGAGTCGTGCTTGGAATTTAAAGAGAACAGGACCCATTGTTATTATTGTTACTACTGTTATTATGGTTATTGTTATCATTATTGTTACTATTGTTGTTGTTATTGAACACCATAGCACGAAGCACTCTTCTGTTGGAACCTCCTGCGCAACTGCACTAAGTAATCGACTTGTGCGGCCAAGTTTGCTGCTCTTCTTCATATTCAACCGTACCGTCGCCCTCCAACGCGATGGAGACTGAATACGACTTCAACTCATTGATGCGGCCTTTAGTCTCCATGTAGCCGTCACCCTCGATAAAGCAAGTGCTTCCGCAGTATGCCAAGTTGTAATCCCAAGCCATAAGCTGTTCCTCCACCAGCCGGTATTGATGTCCCTCCTATGGCTTCATAGGCTTAGGAATGTTTAGGGTTTAGGATTAAGGGTTTAGGGTTTGGGGTGAACTCAGCCAGCTAAAGGGCCTTGTCACCCTGTACAGTTAGCCGCAAATAAGTCTGACGGCCATCCACAAGTTTGGGGTAGTTCGTGGCTTGCACCAAGTCAGATTATGTTTCTGTACGATAGACACGTCCATGTAGGAGACTTCGGCAACCCAATCTAAAGATACTACTGACATCACATTCCAGCATGAACTTGAACCTTGACGCCGAACTCCAAGCAACACGGCGTGGGAAGCTGTGTGTCAAGCACAGTTCGAACGGCAGTCCTTGCTGATGAGGTAGTTAGCACTCATCCCTGTTTCAAAGAAGCGTGACCTGTAGCGCTCTGCTGTCAAGCCTTGAGTATTTCCTATAATGATGCACGCTGGCGGTCGAAACTCTCTTCTAGGCAGAGGCACTGTAGGTGCCGTCATGCGATTCACTCGCCGGCGTTGATCTTGACGCGGGTCTTGGACGGTATAAGAACCGTCGTTTGCCTGCTTGCAGACATAGCTCCTCTTCTCCATGCACAAGATGGTGTAGGCAGTCTCGGGAGGTTTCATGCCAGTGAAGCAGGATGAGGAAGGATTTTCGAATTGCTGGCTCTTGAACTCTTCACAAAACTGTGTCAGAACTGTTGCGAAATCTTCGCTAGCAAGCTGTGCGAAGTGCTTCTTGACAGTGTTCTCGAAAGGCGTTTCCTCATCTTCTTTGCCAGCAAGAGTCGGCATCCCCGAAGGCACAGGAAAGAGAAGGCGGTATGTGTTCGAAGACACAAGCTGGTCAGGACCCTCCGAAAAGGCATTGCGGCAAGCCTTGCTGAGGGCACTATGGCCCTGAAAGCTGTTTCGGCAGGCGTTTATGCACAGCAAGAATGTGCAACCCGCAGCCTTGCGGTTCAGAATGTTCATGACTGCATCAAGCCCAAGACAACCTTGAGGTCGTCGAGCAGCTCTGGGAACGAAATAAAAGCACCCGTTATCCTCGAAGCCATGACCAGCATAATAAAAGAAGTATGTCTTGCGGTCCTTAATCTTCAGCTTACAGAGCGCATCAACAAAGTCCTCAAGACTTTCGGGTACTTCGTTGAACCAATTCCAGGGTGTACAGCCACCATCCAGGGCAACCTCATAGACCCTCTCAGCCTCAGATTCGAAAAGGCCTTCTGCCACCTCATCCAGGACTACAGGCACATCGTTGACATCTAACAACTCACCTCCGCGACCACCGGCCACCACCAAGGCCCCATGGAAAGGCTCCTTTGAAGGATGCCCAGGCTTACAGGGGCTTTCTAGGGGATAAGGAAAGAAAATATATGGGCTCCTGTCTAAACACCTTGTATCCCCTTTATAACCCCTAGAATAGTTCCCTCTATAAATCCCCTACATAACGCCCTCTAAGGAGTCTAGACTACAGCTCATATAGGATTATATTCCCTTTTTCCCTTACTAACCGCCAGTAAGCGGAACAAGAGGGAAGGTTCGAAGGATTCAGGACCGAGGTCCGGGTTTCGGCTCTAGAGATCTTAGGGTTAAGCTTCTGGGGTTGAAGGATTGGGTTCCTTTTCCCTGCAAACTCGATCTGCAAAGCCCTTATCTGTGATTCTAGACCCTAAACCCTAAACCCTAAACCCTATTGAGGGATCAAGGTTAGGGATTGCGGTTTAGGGATTAGGGTTTAAGGTTTTGGGGAATCAGGTTAGGGATTAGGGCCCTAAAGACCACAAATTCTTGTTGATCTCGGTAGCCCCCACGCAACTGTCCTGCATGACAAGGGTTGCTTGCTCAGGGCTGCCCTAAAAGATGGCAGACCCGACATACAAATTGTGAACAATTACCAAAAACATAACCCCAGACCCTAAACCCTAAACCTTTACACCCAAACCCTCAAACCAAACCCTAAACCCTAAAACGCCTTTCCAGGTAATCCCTAAAACCTCAAGCCCCGGAATGGTGCAAACCCTTCAACCCTAGCACCCTAGCATTAAGGGTTTGGGGTTTAGGGTTTGGGGTCTGGGCTTGGGGTTTAGGGTTTGGGGTTTAGGGTTTGGGGTTTAGGGCTTGGGGTTTAGGGGGTTTAGGGCCCCAAACTTCTCGGTTGTTACTAAATGAGGAATGAATATGATTTGTTCATTCCTGCATCTCTTACTTACAACCAGCAAGTTTTGCCCTACCCATTCCTATGAGAATCCTGTTTCCTGTTGATGTTCAATCTGCCTCTCCATTTGCTGTTCCCTTCCCTGCCGCTAGCCCCGAAGCCCTAAAACCCTAAAACCCTCAAGCCCTAAACCCTACAACACCTCAAAGAAGAGCTAGGCTCTGTCTTGCGTGTAGTGGTCAATTCACACTGCTGCAGGGTTTTGGGGCTCATCTCCACCAGCTCCTTGCAGTGGAGTCCAGGGTTGAGGGCTTAGGGTTTAGGGTTTAGGCTTAGAGGCATCATGGGGGTTATACAGGGATGCATGCGAAACTTAGAGTGCACAAAAGGGACTCTATAGGTTTGGGGTTTAGGGGCTCACAGTAGCTCGGGCCTCAGCTGCTGAAAACTGTGCAAACCCCCTCCCCCCCACCCCCCAGGGTCAGGCCATGTCAAATCAAGGGGAACCTCTGGGAAGGTAGTCTATGCGGGTGGGCGGGGGAAGCTGGAATTGGCTAGTAAGCCTTATAGAAAATGTTCTGAACAAATCCTGCATGCGTTGTACTTACTCACTTAGAAATCCTCATGATCTAAATCACCTGCGCGCTCGACCTTTCAAAACCGTTTTTCGCATAGCAATACGAAGACTAGCGCGACCAAAAAATCCTACAACACCACAAGCTTTTTAAACGGATTTTGTGTGCAAGGCGGGGTCCTGCACCAGACGGTCCAGGCACTCTCTGGGCTCTTTCTCCAGGCCTCATCAATTCAAGACACACATTCTGATTCTCTCTCATTTAGAAGCACCCAAAACCGTCAAGGTCGCAGCTCAATCGGCGACGCCGCAGGGCATCGACTACAGACGGCTGCTCTGTCTCCATGGCGCAGGGAGCTTCTCTAGATCATGCGGGGAATGTCCTCTACCTCCACACCGTGGGACCCGAGTTAACTCTTGCAATGAACCAACCCTGTATATAGTTTGATGAATCAGTGTAAGTGCTCTGTCATTATGCAAGAATGTAGAGGGGATAGATATGACTCTCAGCGAAACAGCGCTGTGGTCACGTGGACATGGTCTGAAGTCAGAGCTCCTTTGTTTGATGCCTGCTCCCCCGCAGGTCTAATGCCGGACGACAAATCCGACAATTTTGGGTGAGTAAGCGTGGTGAAAAGGAACCCCCAAACTTGCTGCCCAGTGGCTGGCAACCGAAGGATTAGGCGCCGTGCTTTGTGCCAGATGGCGCACGGGCAGCCATTTCACAACTTCGCAGAAGATACACAAAGGCAATTATGCAGAGGATAAAACTCGGATCCCCAGCACCAAGCATCCCGCACACTGGCTCAAAATTATGGTACCTACTTAACTTGTAATTCGAAAGAAAAGTCTCAGGCCATAAACATAGTCGGCTGCACGTTGTTCACGGTCCTCCATAAAGTTGTCTCGGTTGTACTCAAACACCTGCTCAGCGGTGAAACGAAAAATCGGCTGCCAAACTGTACCGGGTGATGCTGCACGTGCACAGCGGAGTTAGGGTATGGTTTGAGTTTAGGATTTAGGGTTTACGGTCCTCGTGACACCGTCCGTCCATTTGGAATGCATAGCCATGTGATAGTTTCCATAAAAAGGAGGCTCCAATAGAAACCCCCAAGTACTATAACCCATATCATATGTGCGTAAAGACCCCCTAAAACGGTACCCCTAAGTTTGGGAACCCACATCCCTGTAAACCCCAATTTCATTGTCCATTCTCTTTTCCGTATGATTCTGCATTTTTGGGGTGTACTATCCCTAAACCCTAAACCCTACACACTAAACCCGAAACCCTAATCAAGTTACCTTAGGGGGTTTAAACCCTAACCCCTGCGCACTAAATCGTATCCTATGGCAGAACCACGCATGAACCATCAGACCTGGGGCCACAGTCCACAATTCTGTGGCAAGTCGCCTGTGAGAGGCTTAGGGGTTCGGGCTGAGGATCCCCTAAGGTCCCCCGACCAGGGTTTAGGGTTTAGGGTCCATACGCTAGGAACCCACCTCAAACCTGGAACCCAAGCCCGAAGCTCTACATTGGCGTCAAGGCAGCGCGTCACGGAACATGAATTGGAATGGATCCGCACGCCTTCGTGGCAGCACCTGCCAGCATGGCTGCCACTCTAGGGCTTAGGTGAGCTTAGGTGAGCTTAGGTGAGCTTAGGCGCAGGGTTTTGGGCCAGGTTGAGTCATTGAGGGTTTACGGCCTGGGCGAAGAAAGGTATGTAACGAACTAGCTTTCCCTAAGGGTCCAAGGACCCAAATAATGAGGTTTTAGGGCCCAAAAACCATTAATATTATGGTATTTGGGCCCTAAAACCTTACTATTTGGGTCTTTGGACCTTTGAATATTCCCCATATATATCCCTATATATCCCCCTATAACCCCTTTAAAGGAACCCTATTATTTGGGTCCTTGGCCCCTTAGGCTTTGGGAGCTGCACGAGCTTATGAGTCTGGAAATGTGGGCCTGACCCTTTGGACGCAGACAAAGGGCCCCTTTTTCTGGAAGGTTCACATCTGGGTGGTTGTCAAAACTATGGTCCCTTTTTGGGTACCCGAAATATTCGGTGCTATAATAGGGATCCAAAAAGGGACCATAAGTTTGACAACCACCCATGTGGGAGTTGGGACCTAATTAGTTCTGCCAGCTCTGTGAAAAACCAAAACTGTTAAGCCTCCATACTCCATGCTGCGTGAGCCCTATACAACTGCTCTTCCTAAGCGCTGAGCCCAGGTCGAGAAAACAACAAAAAATGTAAGAAGGCCGTGCCTCAATCCTCCCCTAAACCCTGACCCTTGAAACCTAAACTGTCAATCCCTCCACTCCCATCTACCCCAATCCACCTGGCGTCATGCCCGCGGCAGCCACAGCTGCCCCTGTTGCAATCACCATGGCTTCCAGTAGGTGTCAAATCCTTGACGGCGTAGTGCTTGGGATTTGGGGTTTTAGGCTGGTGGTTTAGGGTCCAGTCTTTCTACTGTTCTTAGTAGGGACCAAGGGAATACAATCCCCGTATACTGCTTTCCCATATTTCCTACGAAGAGCCAGTAAGTCTTTGGATTCAGCCAAGGGCTAAGGGCCTAAACTTTCACCATGGCATCCAGTAGACCCAACATCCCAGATAGCGTTGATAGCGCTGCGTC